CCCCAAAACCCCAAAACCCCAAAACCCCATATGAAAAATTTGTTAATTTTTAATGAATTTAAGTTAAATTAGTAATAATTATTCAAATATAGACATAATGGATAAAAGAACAATTGCAGAAAAGTTCGGAGATAAGAAAAATGTAACTCACATTCATTAATAAGCATATTCTTTAGCTTGACAAGAAAATTAATAAGACAAAGAAGTATGATCATGTATAATCCTAGGTTAGTCATGGTAAAACTGTGAAAGATGTTGAGGTTTTAAGTAAGAATATTTAGAAAGTGAAATTCTAACGATAATTAAGGTGATAAGCTAGTTGCCAAAAGAGCTTCAGAAAGATTTAGGAGAATTAAATGCTCAACTTTAGCAAAGCTTTTAGGCGGAATTAACTTTGGAGAGAGTGTATATCAATGGAGATCAGGAGAAGAGGGCAAAGAAGAATTCAAGGCATCCGATATGATAACAGACACTGAGAGTATCTATTCAATGAGGACAGATATGACTTAAAAAACTTCGGTTACTGTTGCAACTGATCAACTAGGCATCACTGTATGAATTAAGACAAACTTAATGAGTTTAGGCTGATACTTAATTCTTGCTTCTTGATATGAGAGAACCAGAATAATACAGAAAATGGCATATTAGAGATTCAATTAACTATTATCACATTTTGCTAAATTAGGACAAGACTATTCCAGAACTATACAGATTTGTAACAAATATTAAAACTTTATAAATTGAACCTATAGAGAAACTAGCCAAACAAGATGATAATAATTTACTTAGAGGACGAAAGAATTGGGACAGAAATAGCAACTAAGATGGTAGAAAAAGGAATTGAGAATTCTTTCTTGTTGTCTGGAGGAATAGAAAAGTTCCATGAGGAGTTTACAGACTTAGTAGAAGGCAATGATGTTCCAGTTCCACAAAAGAAGATAAAGGAAGACAAAGATAAATCTAAGCAGCTAAGGAAAACTCAAGTGAAAATGAGACATAATGATTGTAAAAAAGATTGATAAACTGCAGAACAATGAAGGATTATGAGATATATTCTTAGTAATAAAGCAGCATATCATTAAAGAAAAAGATTTAAATTTAGCAATAGGTTTTAATATTCACTTCTAAAAACTTTTATTGAGTGAAATCAGCATGCTGGGGTTTTGGGGTTTTGGGGTTTTG